TCTTAACCTCGGGTTCATTTTAAACATCACTTATTATGGGTAATGAAATGTTGTCTGTTTTCTTTTAAGCTCAAAACATATGAACATTTCACATACGTCACACCTAAAGGTGCATAACGCCAACAGTGCAATACATAAAGTTGTTACAGCTAGCTGTCAGGAATAACAACTGAGGACCCAGTAAATCCAAGACTTGGAGACAGACTCACGATCAAAACGCCTTTTAATCAGTAAGCGGTAACAAAGTATAAGATGTAGTGTGGACATTTCAGCTGGTCACGGGCGACTGGGAGCTGTGTTGACTGGACCGCTAGATGAGTAACCCGGGGTAGACAGCGAGTGGAGGCAACCACTGAATAGAAAGCAGAGGAGGAGGGAGAGAGGACCGAGCAGATCAGCAGTGACTCTTTATATGGGAAATAATGATGAGAACCTGGGTATGAGAAATGATCATTGTGGAGGGAGGCAGGAGGTGGTGAGGTGCCTGCTGGCCAGTGCGTGAATCAGCTGGCAGTGGAAGTGATGGTTCACAGAAGGTTCGGCTGCAGCCCAGCTCTATGCCATTGTAGGAGGTGCACCTGGGTAGCTGAGTCGCCATGGATGGTGCATACAGTCCCACAGGATAATCCTAAAAAAAAAACAAGATCAAACTTGCGAGGAGATCGCAGCATATGCACCAGTTCAGAGAAAACTAAAAACAAGTGAAAATTCAAACTGGCGAGGAGACAGCAGGATTCAGTAAAGCAGACAAGAATCAGTTGCCCAGAAACAATAGTTCATATGACAAAATACTCAAGAGGATTTCCTGTGGCAGAAAAGCGAGCGAGCGAGCGATCGATTCGATACGATACGATACGATACGATACGATACGATACGATACGATACGAAGCTTACTGAATATTTGCGAGACATCCAGAGATCATCTGGCGACGAGAACACACCAATGCTCACCCTAAGTAATGCCCTGCTGAGTGGGAGCAGGTGTGCTTTGAGTGCACTCCAGCACCTGTCGGGGCGGAGTTGTTGATGGACTCAGGGTTAGCGGACGAAATGCTTGGAGTGCACTGATCCGCAGCCATAACAAAAGTGCCATAAGTTCAAGTGCATATTTGTAAATGTGGTTTTGACCAACACAAAACAAATTTTAAAAGGCAACATGTAAATTCTGAGTCTCAACCCTGATGCTGTGGGTCGCTAACGTGAAGGATGATACTGAGATCTGGATTGCAGTACACAGGCCAGGTCTGGTTTAAGACTGTGGCTGAGATGCGCAAAGTGTCACGCAGGTGAGAGTCACTCAGTCTTATCCTCAAGTGGTCCTTGGTTAAGTTTAAGTTTATAACGGAGAATGTTTGCTCACACAAATATGTGGAGCCAACTAAGCTCAGCATTTTCTTGGCAAATGTTCGAATCTCTGGAAACCCGCCTTTATCCAGCTGCGGTAAAAGTTCATAAGAGGAAGCTGTTGTGTCAGCTGCACCACTCGCTGTCACACTGTAGCTCAATGAGCTCTAGTTGCAGTTGAGCTGGAGCATAATCAGGGTCCATGGAAAAAGGAGAAGGAAAAAAAGCTCCTTTCCAATAGCTGCAAAATCCTGAAAGCGTTTTAACTCCACAGCCAGAGATGCGATGATGTACTGTATGTAATAGCCACACCATAATGATCGCATGACATGCACCTATCCTGCAAAGTCCAACATGAAGGAGACCATCAACACCCTGATATACGCTGACAGAACTCGCAAAATTAAAAACCAACCTATAGTCAACGTTGACCCCAGAGCTGCAGAAATGAGCCGTTTGAAACAACAGGTACAGAAACTGGAAAATGGGGGGAAAAACCGTGCTTGTGGAGTTGACCTCAAAATCACATCTCAAACTGCCATTATCTTATTTAATAATGCTGCAAGTTAAATACCTTTTTTTTACTTGTTTAGTTGTAAATCTTTTTATATTGACTACTGTAGGGAGGAACATGTGTGACTCACAACCTTCTTTTTTCTGTTTAAAATTAACATTGAAAGTGCCTTGATTTGTACTCATTTAGGTTCAGGAACTGCAGGTAATGCTGCTTCATGCCCATGGAGGAGTAGCTCCAGTGCTCTCTGTGTAAAACTAAATTACCCAGTGTCCCACCAGGATGTAAGGTGAATGAACCTGGGAAACATTAGCCTAAATGAAAGGCCATAAGAGTTACACGGTCCCTCTGTTAATAGGCCAGTTTGTGGTCACCTCCATTTTTCTGAGTTCAAAATCACAACTTAAAAGAAATTTAAATTCCCCAAACTTTTTTAAAAATGGCATGCCAATTTGAATCCCCTTGCTTCATAAAGCCTTGCAACCATTTTATTTTAATCATCCCATTCATAATATCAAATGTGGTTGATCAGCAGTGTTCCAGCTCCTTTATCAGGGCTCAGCTTCTTAATATATGTTATCCTTCACCTGTGAGAAGAAACTATGTCTTTGATGGTCTTTCAGGCCATATGGCTTGTGAAATTAGGTAGAGATACATCTTGTTTCCCATAATTCCTAAAGCCAAAGAGGTGCATTTCAAGATGCTGAATGAATTCTACCCCTCTAAAGAATTCCTACAATTGAAATTTAATATGGATGATAACTGTTGCACTTTTTGTAACTCTGAAGCAGAGACCACAGATCATTTGTTTTTCTATTGTAATCTTACATTTGACTTTTGGGCATGTTTAAATGACTGGCTCAGGTCCAAAACTGACTTCTTGGCACCTTTTACTTTAAAATAAAAACATCAAATTTGGTATATGTCTGAAAGAAAAAGATGTTGAATTCTTGGTCAATAATTTTATCATTTTGGCAAAATATTATATTCATAAATGTAAATGGAGTAAAAGGTGGCCTTGTTTAGCTGTGTTTAGGTATGAAATATCCATACTTAAGAAATCCCTGGGATGTATGAGTGGTAAAGGAACCCGAAATCTTTTATCTGCAATCAGTCACTTTGATTTACTGTAACCCCCTGGTTATATGTTTTATTTTTTAAATTTAAATTTATTTAGTTCAATTGATTTATTTATGTTTTTGTTCAGCTATCAATCTGTGTATGATTTGTTTCTCAGTCCCTTGTGGGTTCTGTAGACAGGTTTCACTGCCTTGTATGTCTGTAAATATGATGTTCATTTAAAAGAGAAAAAGGAAAAAAAAATTCATTTGACTCACAGGCTTGTGTGAAAAGCCTCTGCTGTAAAGCTAAGATAGCTTCCCTAGCCTCACCTTCTCAGCGCAGTCACTCCTGCTTGTTATATGCATTAGCATGTTTTGACTGGTAGTGTCTCTTTACACTGAGTTCCTTATACACAGCAACAGTCTCTTGGCAAATTAGGCAAACACAATTGTTTCATATTTCAGTAAAGAAATATTTAAATTTCCACCTGTCCCTCACAATCAACTTTCCATTTTTTTTTATCTGCAGTTGCCATTTCTCAAATCGGCTAGAAAGGGTTACAGCGGGGTCACACAGTCAGACTGCTGCTGACACCATTTGGTGACACAGAAAATTACACTTTGTACCTGAGTGATATGCATATTCTATCTGGCAGCGCTAGCAGGCCATAAATTATACATTTTATGACAGAGGCTGCGGGCCGTATAAAATCTGACCATGGGCCGCAATTAGTCCAAATTAGACTTTGGGCATGCCTGGTCTAGGGGATGTTTCCTGTGTTTACATTTCTAAGGTTGTATTTTTTGCTTTGTGTTCTGCAGTGTTGTAAAACAGCTTCTTCTGTATCTCAATGACAGTGAAAACAGTACAAATGTAAATGGGAATTCTGTCCAGTTTTGCAATCAATCTCCCACATACAGTAATGTGAACCTCTGTACTGTTGAAATTGATACATACCATACAGAACAACTGCAGCCTTGTATATTTTTAATCACTGTCAACTAAATCTGAGTCATAGTTGACACCAGAAAATACTTCCAGAGTACACTGTTGTATTGACAACATGACTAAACATTCTGACGTGTTTGTAAACAAAAAGACTTGTCATTTTGATGCACTGACATGTCCACTGACATATGTATTTACTTTTGAGAGATAAACTAAGCATTTTGAGCAAGTGACACTTTTGTAGTTTTTTCCATTGTGTGGTGCTGTTTGTACCAACTGTTTCAAGACATGCTCTTACTGGATGATTTGTGAAATGTTCCAAAGCGAAAAACAGTATTAGAATTATAATAATCTATTTACGCATTACAAGATATGTGCCGAGCTTAGTGGTGCAAGCAATTGAATGCTGAATCATTTACAGACTGGATGTTTAATTTAGACAGTCAGAACTACCAGAGCCCCTTTGAGTTTTTGAACTTGAAACTGTTGATAGTTGGTTTACTGCCCACTCCTTTAAATGTGTCCAATATCCACCAAAAACATTATATGTAATAAAATTGAATATGTTTGCTGTCAGTGTGAAGAAGACAGAGGTTTAATAACAGGGAAAAGTGAAGATAAATCAGTATCAAACAACTAATGTAGGCTACTAAACTACAGAAAAACATGACCCTCTTTGAATATTCTGTTAATTGAATCAGAGCAATGCATAACAATTCACTCTGATGTTAAGCTGAAAGGTTAAGGCTTAAACTTTCAAAAATCATTTCTGCAAATCATTGTGAGGTCATTGTATTACAGTAGTACTTTTTAAATCATCTGCAGTAACACTGCCAAGTTCAACATGTAGGCTAGTTTTGTAGTGGATACAAGGAGGAAAGACAGGAGCTGATTTCAGCATTTAAAGAATGCAAAGTTAAGAATCACAACACGGAACCTACTTGATATTGCATCACAAAGAATATACATCTGATTAAGTATGTCAAGGATAGAGGATTAAGTCTGTTGCCCCACGCTCCAGTTCGGCAGGTGGCGGTAAAGCACATGCAAGTTGGTTTTCCAGCCGCCAATCTAAAGTTGAAGAAGGCGACGGAAGTGGCGCTGGATGTTTGAAAGTGGCGGGTAGGAAAATGTTCACCTCCTGTAACCTAACTGTGCTAACTTAGGTCGGCAAAGGACGAGTTTACTAACTGGGCTGTAAGTAAGTGCTGTTCAAAGGTAAATTCATCAGATTTGACGCATATTAGTGTACCTACCTACCTACCTGCCAACCAGAGCAGCTGAATGCGCCTGCGGTTTTTTCTTTTTGTGTATTTAACGCTGACACTAAAGGAAACGTGAAATGTATTGTTAATGTCAGTATCTTACTAAAAGCTGCAGCGTTAAGATGACACCGACTCTGACTTAATTGTCATCCGTCACCTGGGTTGAAGACAGTTTATTTTTCCAACGTTATTTTCTTCACTAACCGACCGCTAAGCATAAAGTTTGTTGTTTTGCAAAGCGTTATCTTTGAGAAACGTTAGCTATGTATAATGTTGTTTAGCTAACGACAGCTAATGTGTCTGGGATGAGATTGGGGAACGTTAACATTGAAGTTTAGCGTATCTAACGTTGTCTAGAAATTAGCGTACATTTCTGCAATAACTCTTGGTTATTGCAAAGCTCTGAACAGAAGGCAGACATATATTAAGAAGCTGAGCCCTGTGGAAACAATGACAACACCCATGGTGACTTTACTGAGGCATTTTCTGATTCAGCTATAAGTTAATATTTACTTACTGCGAATGCGCGTGGTATGGATGTAACGCCTGAAGTATAGTAGTAATGCTAGTTACTAGTTACTATATTACTCAACCAGCTATAAAGTGTCTTATTTAATGTGGAGACACACTAACACTTGTGGATACAGTTTTGATGCTTTAAAAGGAATAGCATACAGTAATGCAAATAACACTCAACTATTCTGCCATAATGTTCTCAATTTTAACTTAAGGTTTAAATGGCTTTTGTTTGTATCATGCAGTGAAACGCATACAATGTTAGATATTATTTAGATCTTTTCTGTAATACATCTCTAAATCTGCCTCCAGCATTTATGCAGTACTTGCATATTGACATAGTTTTATGTGTAGTTTTATTATTCATGCCAGTGTTGATGAAAAGCCTTTTCTTTAAAAATGATGGGATTCATTGTATCTCAACATCCACCACTGGAGTCAGTGTCAACACTGTCTGGTTTTAATAATGTTTGGCATTTAAAATTTAGGTTTATCAAAGTCTTTTGTCCATTCTAAATATTTACCATATTATCTGGCTGGCTTGATTATGTTTAAGCTCTTATTTTCCTTTTATTACCAGGTATTCCTTGTGATAGTGCATCATGACAGATGATGCTAAAGTGATCCCAGTGCGGGTTGCTTTGCGATGTCGTCCATTGGTACCTAAAGAAATCAGTGAAGGATGTCAGTGCTGTCTCACCTTTGTGCCTGGGGAGCCGCAGGTCTGTGTACAACAAAAATAGCTTCACATAAATGTTAATATAATGTGTTTTTAGCTGATGGTCAGAAGTTTGTGGTCACCTCCATTTTTCCAGTTATTAGTGTAATTCAGTAGCTGTATTTTTTCCTTCCTATAGCATGAAACACTGGCTTCCTTTGTTGATAGCCCTTTTTCCAAATGCTTCAGAAGAACACTGCCTTTAAACAGATGGTTTCTTCTTCTAAGTGATCAACAAAAGTTGGGACACCTGTAGCAATTGTTTACATCAGTTTTCAAGGCTTCATTTACTTCCAATGCTGCAGAAAAGCTGTACGTGATGCCTGTTTTACATGAAATTTACTAACATTTTTAATTTTTTGTGAATTTTTCTTGTATTTTGCCTCTGGCAGTTTAATTCTTAGCTTTGTACTATTTAAGGTTATTCACTGGACTTGAATTGTTTAAATGCCAAAATAAAAGCTGGAAATATGGAGGTGTCCCCAAAATTTTGAACCAGTGTATCTAAACTACACCACAGTATGTGTGAGAAATGTCGGTTTTCAGGTGATTGTTGGCACAGAGAAGGCGTTCACCTATGATTATGTATTCGATCCTGCTGCCGAACAAGAAGAAGTTTTCAATACTACTGTCTCCTCTTTATTGTCTGGCCTTTTCAAAGGTAGCTATGGCTTTTTTACATGGTGATTTAATGCATTCAGTCAACATAATGTTTTATTGAATTCACCAAGAAAATGGACTTTTTGTTATTACCCATTTCCTGGTAGGTGAGAATATGCAAGTGAAAGTCACATGACATACACTGGAAAAATAGAATTAGCTGAGATGTCAGATAATTATAAAAACATGTTTTATCATTTCTTATTATCTTTTAAATATCTTTGGACTAACTTGTTCTTTTTGTAGGCTACAATGCTACAGTCCTTGCATATGGACAGACCGGCTCAGGAAAGACGTACTCCATGGGAGGAACATACACATCGGCACAAGAGAATGATCCTTCAGTTGGAGTTATTCCACGTGTCATCAGAAGGATTTTTGAGGAAATGGAGAAGACAGGCAGTGAAATCTGTCTGGCAGTTTCTTACCTGGAGGTTTGTGTACACGGCATTGTTTACACTGTGTATGTCTTCTTCGTGTGTGATGATAAAATATACGGTATTTCTGTCCTTTGCATCTAGCAGACGTTTTTTATTGCATGGTGATCTTTAAAAGTTTTTTTTTTTAAGTTTTTTCCTTTTGATTGTAGATCTATAATGAAGACATATTAGACTTGCTGTGTCCATCTAAGGATAAACCTGCCATCAGCATTCGTGAAGACCCAAAAGACGGCATTAAAGTGAGTGACTGACGTCAAGAACGACACCACACATTGTCCCTTTTTTTGTGAGCACATAGTAAATAGACAGATAATCCTCAATAATCTGCGTTTATGTCTGATTCTGTACCTTGGTGTCGGCTTTTATTTTTATCCTATCCTATTTTACAGATTGTTGGTTTAACTGAGAGGCGGATGTTCTCTGCACGTGAGATGGTGGACTGTCTTGAGCTTGGAAACTCTGCTCGCACTGTTGGCTCTACAGCGATGAATGCTGCTTCTTCACGCTCGCATGCCATTTTCACCATCACACTGGAGCAGCGTAGAGGGACAGAAAAGTCAGTTTGGTGCTTTCTACCACAGTTGTTATTTATGGGTTATATTTGGCCACTTAACACAACCTTTTGAGGGAACATGTGGTGTGGCTTAGTGATATGCATACAGTGAACGGAGCTGATTCTGGACTGACTGACGTGACTGGGCCAACAATGACCGACTGATTCTTTGACAATTCTCGTATCTAATACTTTTGTTTATTTTTTATGTAGAAGTGGTGATTCTGTCTTATATCTTTTAGATTGTTGAATTATCTCACAGTTTGTTGAACTGTTTAGAGTTATTGTAATAATAAATAACCATTGGGATAATTTGCCTGAATTAATTTAGTTCACATCAGACCATAACAACCACAGTAGCTTTAAGTAATTTGACTAGAGTTTTTCATAAAGATGTATGGAATTCACTCTGAATTTGTACTACTGTGTATGAACAGTCCTCATTATGAGGCCTCATTTTCAAATATTCTACAAATTAAATGTTTGTGTAATGTTTTGTTGCAGGATTGACTCAATTGTGTCTAAGTTGCATCTTGTAGATCTGGCTGGTTCAGAGAGACAAAAGAAAACCAAAGCAGAGGGAGACCGTTTAAAGGAAGGTAAACCCAGTAAATCTTATGATTTATTAATTTAAAGGTTGTCAATACTTTATTTATGATTCCCTCAATGATATAGAGTGTGGTGCCTTATAAATGATGTGCTGCAGTTGTGTCTTCAGTAACAGTATGTCCGTTTCAATGCTGTTGATTTTCATCTTCAGGCATCAGCATCAATCGTGGCCTTTTGTGTTTGGGTAATGTAATCAGTGCCTTGGGGGATGAAAGCAAGAAAAACACCTTTGTTCCATACAGAGACTCTAAACTCACTCGCCTGCTGCAGGGTAGGCTTTGAGTTCTATTTTCAAAAGCTACATACTGGTCATGTCATGAGGTTAGACTCAAATACTGTTTTCACTTTTAGGACCTTCATATATAAGCAAATCATAATGGTAAAGCATGCATCCTGCTTTTCTTTGCTTTTATTGTTTTACATGGCTGCATCTGTTCTGTTACCACAAAATAAAAAAAATAAGCTGTTCTATTGATGGCATTGTGCACTGGCAATGTGTAGTTTTTGTGGAATAGTCTTACTTGTTTAATGCAAAAAAAATGGCAAAATCCCTGGTGAATGCACATTAAAACAGCAATGATGCAGCATGGTTAATGGCTGCAGAGCTTTTCTGAACAGTTTTTTGTTTGTTGCTTCATCAGATTCTCTGGGAGGTAATAGCCACACCCTGATGATCGCATGCGTCAGCCCTGCAGACTCCAACATGGAGGAGACCATCAACACCCTGCGATACGCTGACAGAGCTCGCAAAATTAAAAACAAACCTGTAGTCAACATTGACCCCAGAGCTGCAGAAATGTGCCGTTTGAAACAACAGGTACAGAAACTGGAAAACAGAGCAGAAAAAAACCTTGCTTGTGGAGTTGACCTCAAAATCACATCTCAAACTGCCATTATCTTATGTCACAATGCTGCTAATTAAATGCTGTTCATTTACTTGTTTAGTTGTAAACCTTTTTATATCGACTACTGTAGGGAGGAACATGTATGATTCACTTTTGTTTAAAATTGACATTGAAAGTGCTTTGATTTGTACTCATTTAGGTTCAGGAACTGCAGGTAATGCTGCTTCATGCCCGTGGAGGAGTAGCTCCAGTGCTCTCTGGGTAAGACCAAATTACAGTGTCCCACCAGGATGCAGGATGAATGAACCTGGGAAACATATTACCCTAAATGAAAGGCAGTAACTGTTACACGGTCCCTCTGTTAATAGGCCCGAGTCAGCGGAGAACGTGACTAAGCTGCTGGAAAGGAACCGTGCTCTGCTGGATGAGAACAATAAGTTAAGCAGGGAGTTGAGTGAGGCAGCTGGACAGACCACCCTCATGTTTGAAAAGATTATTGTGGTGAGCCATATCTTAATATTTGTGGCTCTCATTGTTGAAAGCTGATGACAGTATTACCACTGGAGAAACTGTGTCCCATTGTGCCCATCGTTAGAAATAGACCAGAAGCAGTTGAAACTGTCATGTTTATCACATTGTGTTGACTTTGCTTTACAGACAGAACAGGCAAATGAGAAACTACAAAGCAAACTGGAACAACTGCAGCGCCATGCAGCGTAAGTTTACTAAGGCATGAAGCCAGGAGGGCTTTGACATGGTTCAGACCGAGATTAGAGAGGACACAGAAAACTTCAGCTGTTCTGTTAAAGACTTTGTTTACTTTTCGTTGCTCTGATTATTTCTGTTCATAGTTTCAGCTGTTTGTTGTTGCATGCTGACCATCAACAAGTTTTAGTACTGAAAGACCACATTTTAGTTTAGGGCTTAGCACCTGAGAAAAGGCTGCCACTAATAAACTTACAAGGTTTGTTGAACAAGCTGTTGATTCTGTTGAGTCCCACTCTTTATGTACCTTTATTTCAGATGTACAGTGGATCTTGAGAAAGTGTTGCAGACACTGGAGGACCAGGAATTGAAGGAGAATGTTGAGGTGATGAAGAACCTGCAAGACATCATCTTAGAGTTGAAGGTACACAGAGCAGTATATACGTACAGTATATCAGTGCACCAAAAGACAGCATTTTGTGTAATGCTGAAATTCACATTAAACATATTTGACTTTTTATAGACTTGGTAAATGTAATTAATAGATAATCTTAAGGTGAACACCATTGTTAGTTGCTGAACTAATTTCCAGGTCAAAGTACAAACAGTTTTGGGTTTTTTTTCCCATCAAAAGTTATGTAGTTAGGTCATACCAATGTGAAATCCTGCACAGTTGAGTTTGAGTCCTCATAATATTGACTTGTTTGTTTGTTTTTTGAAGAATGAGAGTGCAGGCATCACTGCCTCTATTGACAGTATGGCTGCAGGAGAGGATGCAGCTGAGCTTTCCGAGAATGGCAGTAAAAATGCAGCAGATGAGTCGCCATTTGTACGTTGACAGTTTTGTTCTCTTAATGTTGACATAAAATGTTGGTTAATGTCAGATAGACTTCACAAAATTGAGAATTCTGCAGTCACTGCACAATTTGTACAGTTTTTTTAATGAGATGATAATGTTAAGCATAATTTTTGATCAAACAATAATATAATATTTCTTTTTAATTTATTTCTGGCCCAATTTAAAACAAAATGGTTTTCTCCTCTAACACGTTAAAAAGGATGCTACTGCCACTGTTGGTAAGGACTCCCTGGAGACCTTTACAGCCCATCATGCACTGCGGCAGGCTCAGCTCTCCAAGGAGCTGATTGAGCTGAATAAAGTGTTGAGTTTGAAGGAAGCTTTTGTGAAGAAAATGTGCCAGAATGACAGCCAGTTGGAGCTGATACAATCTGAACACCAGGTAAGATGATTTCTATCATTTTGGACACCAACACTTTTAGAACCACAAAAAAATTTATTAGATGCTCCACGTGATCTTGTCACTATTTTAGATGTGTCTATCAAATGCTGTTTTTTTTATGATCTTTTTGGACTGACTGACATTTATTTTCCAACATGTGAGTATATTTGAAAATGGTATACTCTAGGTGAGATGCTCAACCATCCAGTAGTTAACACGAGCGATGTAGTGTGACTTGTGATATCATCTGTGGTACTAGGCTCCCATCACAGTTGACTTGGGTTAAATTTAAAGCACAGTCTTTTAACTGAGTCAGATGCTTTTTTTTAGTAAGAAATGATTGACAAGCTTTAATTCCGGGCATTTTGTCCTACAGAAAAATGTACCAGGGCTGCAGCTTGCAGTTGATTCTCTGCAGAAAGAGAAAGAGGAACTGGTTTTGGCGCTTCAGTCTGCAAAGAAAGACACTAATCAGGCTAAGTATGAAAGCTTTGATGCTTTGGCTGTGGTTTTTGACATATCCTATGTAACATTTATGTCTGTTTATGAAGTTAATTTGGTTTGATGTAAAATTTCTTTTAGGGTTAGTGAGCAGCGGAGGAAGAGGCTTCAGGAGCTTGAGGCCCAGCTTGTAGACATGAAGAAAAAGCTACTTGAACAGTCCAAAATGCTGAAACTCAAAGAATCTTCGGTTCAGAAAGTTAGCAAGCTCATGCAGGAGATACAGGTATCTAATGGTTTTCTTTACTTTTAATGAATCCTCAGGTCATCACAAGGTGGACAAGTCTGTTGTTTCATAGGTTAACATGACAGTCATTTTGGATGTAATGGACTTTTCTAATATTTATCATGCCAAACATACTGATAAAGGTTTACTTTTGTTGTCTTCAACCTAAGCACAAAGAATTTTTGCTGTCACCACTCCTGGGATTAAATACCACAACAAAACAGTGACAATATCTTCTATTTTTGCCATTTACTTGAGTCTAAAGTAGTGTTTTTTCTGAAAATGTGCTGAACTGGCACAGAACACTGTTAATATATAACACTAGTGGCTACACATGTAAGCCACCTCCAAGCACAGTAACACTGCGTTCTCCCAGGCTATGAAGACCCAGCGTACACAGCTGATGAGGCAGATGAGGGAGGACTCAGAGAAATACAGACAGTGGAAGAACAAGAAGGACAGGGAGGTACTGCAACTAAAGGAGAAGGTAGGTGGAGATCAACTTCTTGAGAAATTGCAGGACCTTTCCAACAAGTAACCCCGCAGCTTTTTAAAAATTTGTCTTGCAGGATCGTAAGCGCCAGTATGAGTTGATTAAACTTGAGAGGGATTTCCAGAAACAGGCCAACATCCTGCGTCGTAAAACCGAAGAGGTGAGTCCTCTTGTTCTATCCTATTTGCAAACCTAAGCCACTCCCCCTGCTTCTCAATTTCTGCAGTTAGTCCAGTCTGATTTAGTCTCGTGTCACACTGCTTTTTCCCCCCTAAAGGCTGCAGCTGCCAACAAGCGGTTGAAAGATGCCCTACAGAAGAGAAGTGAGGTGGCAGAGAAACGCAAAGATGGTCAAAACAAAGGAAAGGAGGGAGCTGCTGCAAGAGTTAAGGTGGTAAAGCCTGATTCTGGGGCTTCTCTTTAGTTTGACTTGTTTCCACATATTCAAGAATACTGACAGACTTTGTGTAGTGGTATTGTTGCATTGTTAACTCTTTATGTAATCAGATGTGGCTTCTCAATGAAGTAGAGGTGATGGTTAGTACAGAGGAAGCCCAGCGCCACCTCAGTGACCTGCTGGATGACAGAAAGGTCTTGGCTCAGGAGATCAACCACCTCAAACAGCAGATCGAGTCTGGGGACAAGCCTGCTCCCAAAATCAGAGTGAGCTCAGAAATTTGTTCTTTTACTCATACACACTGAGGAGAACATGCAAAAAAAGGAGAATAAGTGAGATGTAGAGTAGAAATGTTACAGAGAAGCAGTGCTTTGATTTCTTGTCTTTCCATATAGCGTCGGACCCTCATCATCTCTGAGCTAGAGACTCAGGGGGCCCTGGAAGCACCTCTGGCCAAACAGATTGAGAACCTGCAGACTGAAATGGACCTGCGGTAAGTCAGAGCAACCAACTCAGTTCATTTGACTTGATCCTCACTCTTGAATGACCTTCCGAGGCATGTTTCATCTGTACATTTAATGATGCACAAGAATGTTTAAAAATCCTTACTAAAACCTCTCAGATTTTGTGATTCTTGCAAACCATAATACTAGTTTTATAAAAACTTCTACAGGAAACCCTGAAATGTTTGTGCAGTTTTGCTGTTCAGCAAAGGAATAGTTCAAATTTTCAGTGGTTTGCACTTTAACAGGAACGCCCAGATCGCTGACCTCCAGCAGAAACTTCTGGTCGCAGACAGCGAGGGGCGTTTGAAACAGCGCATAGATGGAATCACAAGCATCGTGGATGCCAAGTGTGCTGTCAAAATCTTGATGTCTGAGGTAACGTTCTTTTTTTTTTTTTTTAGGAAGTTGAATAAAACATTGTCTATTCACATCTTTGTGCTGAATTAGCCAATAGTACATTCAATTGCTACTTTCTGTTTTCCCTCAAAAATGTTCCTTTTGTATGTAGCTGGTGTCTGCTAAAACAGCCAGTGCCAAGCTGGAAAGCGAACTTAAACAGGAAAAAGGAAACGCACAGGATCTGAGGAAGATGCTGATTGATGAGAGAAATGTGATGTCAACCATGGACATGGAGCACCAGCAGCAGCTGGTGGAGCTGGAGCAGAGGCATCAAGAGAAGGTGCTCAGATCAAGGGAAAACAAAATCCAAAACTATATAGCCCTGTGTGAACAAGTGTTTGCCCCCCTGTCACAACACTGGTTTATCGCACCTGAGTTCAATTTCTCTAGCCACACCCAGGCCTGATTACTGCCACACCTGTTCGCAATCAAGAAATCACTTAAATAGGACCTGCCTGACAAAGTGAAGTAGACCAAAAGATCCTCAAAAGCTAGACATCATGCCGAGATCCAAAGAAATTCAAAACCAAATGAGAAAGAGAATAATTGAGCTCTATCAGTTTGGAAAAGGTTATAAAGCCATTTCTAAAGCTTTGGGACTGCAGCGAACCACAGTGAGAGCCATTATCCACAAATGGCGAAAACATGGAACAGTGGAGAACCTTCCCAGGAGTGGCCGGCCGACCAAAATTACCCCAAGAGCGCAGCGACAACTCATCCAAGAGGTCACAAAAGACCCCACAACAACATCCAAAGAACTGCAGGCCTCACTTGCCTCAGTTAAGGTGAGTGTTCATGACTCCACCATAAGAAAGAGACTGGGCAAAAATGGTTTGCATGGCAGAGTTCCAAGACGAAAACCACTGCTGAGCCAAAAGAACATAAAGGGCCGTCTCAGTTTTGCCAGAAAACATCTTGATGATCCCCAAGACTTTTGGAATAATACTCTGTGGACAGACGAGACAAAAGTTGAACTTTTTGGAAGGTGTGTGTCCCATTATGTGTGGTGTAAAAGTAACACCGCATTTCAGAAAAAGAACATCATACCAACAGTGAAATATGGTGGTGGTAGTGTGATGGTCTGGGGCTGTTTTGCTGCTTCAGGCCCTGGAAGACTTGCTGTGATAAATGGAACCCTGAATTCTGCTGTGTACCAAAATATCCTGAAGGAGAATGTCCGGCCATCCGTTTGTGACCTCAAGCTGAAGCGAACTTGGGTTCTGCAGCAGGACAATGATCCAAAGCACACCAGCAAGTCCACTTCTGAATGGCTGAAGAAAAACAAAATGAAGACTTTGGAGTGGCCTAGTCAAAGTCCTGACCTGAATCCAATTGAGATGCTGTGGCATGACCTTAAAAAGGCAGTTCATGCCCGAAAACCTTCCAATGTGGCTGACTTACAACAATTCTGCCAAGATGAGTGGGCCAAAATTCCTCCACAGCGCTGTGGCAGACTCATGGCAAGTTATCGAAAACGCTTGATTGCAGTTGTTGCTGCTAAGGGTGGCCCAACCAGTTATTCGGTTTAGGGGGCAAACACTTATTCACACAGGGTTTTGTAGTTTTGGATTTTGTTTTCCCTTAATAATAAAAACCTTCATTTAAAAACTGCATGATGTGTTTACTTGTGTTATCTTTGACTAATATTTAAATTTGTTTGATGATCTGAAACATTACAGTGTGACAAACATGCAAAAAGATAAGAAATCAGTAAGGGGGCAAACACTTTTTCACACCACTGTATATACCGGCTTGCATCTCTTGTTAGAGCCATGCATATTTATGCAATGTTGAGTTCTCTCTGTTTTTTATACAGGTGCTTTACCTGCTTAACCAGCTACAGAACAAGCCCATATGTGGAGAGTCTGATGAATCAAAGCAGAATGATGAGAGTTCAAAGGAGAAGGGGCTTCTACAGCGCCTCAAACTTCAGGTTTGTCTCCACTGACTTTAGAGCAGCTGTCTACTCAACCCCTGATTCTACTTTTTTTTTTTTTTGCAGAAATTGGACAGATTTATCACAGAGTTAACGAGAGCGCATGTTCCTCCGCTGAGACAACATTCACTTGTGTGAACGGGTCTGTTGTGAAAAATGAGATCCAGAACAACTCAAAATGTGTCCTAAAATCTTTGATCTGGATCAAATCTGGATCATCTTTTAGGGTATGATGGGCAGTTGCACCGTGCATCTTACCTAAACATTTCAGGGTTCTGGCTTCATTATAGGGCAAGTTATGGCAGAAAATATGTGTTAAGTGCCGTTTTCAATGTTAACATTAAATGGCTGTCAGATCCGGATGAAATTTGGCCTAGCAATAGACATTTCCACCCTACATATGTGTGTCAAATTTAAAATGATTTAGATAACGTTTGACCAGGAGATAAACTTTTGCCCCATGTTAATGATCTGGACTTTTTTGTGGATTTGACCTTTGACCTTTTTCAGTCAAAATCTAATCACTTCTAGGGTTGGTCCCCACCAGTGTGTATACCAAGTATGCTGATGAACCATCCAGCTGTCTGCCCGTAATTTTGCTACCCATCTCACACACACACACACACACACACACACACACACACACACACACAGAACCAAAAGCATAGCCTCTATGGCCGAGGTAATAATATGGTCATTTGTGACATTGTTTTAGGAAGAAAAGCTGCAAGAATTGAGTGAGCAGAACCAGAAACTGGTGGAGCAGAATGAAAAATACAGACAGGTAATGAAGTCCCCATGACTGGTTTGACTCTGTTTTTATTTTATAATGTTAATATTGAGTTGAATTATAAATGATGTGCATCGCTGTCCAACCTGTCAACATGCTGCATGAGTACCACGTGACTCTAATGGTCACATGACAGATCATTTTAAGTCGTAACTAAAGTATGTTAAGTGGAACAGCACAGATGTGTACTGAAACTGCGGTTGTTTTTCTCCACAGGAGCTCACTGTGGTCAGTGGAAAGAAAGTCCTTGTACCCACGACCAACAATGAGAGGAACCCAGAGGACTCATTTGAGTATGTTCCTCAAAAGGTTTGTTATGTCAGATTTTCTACCTTTTGCTTTCCAGTCCTCTGTGTGCTTTAGGTTTTTCCATTTTTAATGGCTAAGTTAGTTAATTCAGGTTATTTTTGGTAGAGAATATTTTAGTCAGGGCTAATGTTTAAACTGAAAGAAAACATTGCACAACGAATTAATGACATTTAATACAGTACAAGGCTAGGCTCCTGGGGTTCCCTGCTTTGTGTGTTTCCCCACTTTATTCAAAGTGACTTTCCTGACTTAAGGCTTCATAGATATCATGCAGGAATGTAACACATTAGATCATTAACTGACAAGTAAGTTGCCTTGTCAAGCAAAGGCATTGATCCAAATGTAGGATGTTTAATGTGAGGTGAGATGTAGATCTGTATTTTCCATGTGTTATTTGTTCTTTCCTTGTCTTCTCTGTGAACAAAAGCCTAAAGGGAAGCGCTTCACCACAGCTAAATCACAGCAGAAAGTGACCATCAACCTTGAAGATCTGATTTCTCCCAGTGAGGATGAGGAGGAGGAGGAAGAGGATGAGTGGTGCCCTGAGAAACCTGAGAAGGGACGCAGAATCTCAAAGAAACCAAAAGCAACTGGGGTAAGACTAGAATTGTGATACGGGTCATGTTATTTGTGTATGAGACCAATAAGCTCTCAGACCCTGACTGTTCACAACGTGCTAATGAAAACGTCAATCATCTCCTTTCACTGGAAAATGCCACATCGTTCAGAATGCACCAGATGGTGAAGCAAAGTACTGTAACTCTGGTTTCAGCTGAGAAAGTTTTGAATGAAAGTTGTACATCTCAGTTTGTTATTGAAAAGTACAAATGTCCTGCAGCTCCATTAGATAGTGCTGAGCTATGCATACACATACAGACCATGACTGTAAATAATTTCCTTTCTTTCAGTGTGCGTGCAAAGGTCACTGCAGCAACAAGCTGTGCAGATGTCGCAAAGGAAAGATGACATGTGGGCAGAACTGCCAATGTAATCACGAGAAATGTCGAAACATGGACGACCAGGCGCCTGCTGAGGTAAGTATAAACTTCAGTTCTGGGTGTGAAAACAGTTTCCTGGTGCTGACATGTATAGTACCACTATTCTTTACGCTTGCACACAGCTTGAGAAGCACAACAGTCTTAAATTTCTAGCTAAGAACATGTTGAATTTGCAACATCAGTAATTGCTTAAAAACAATTTGTACTGATGTTCCATGCAGTTATGGTTACTGTTGTCACATGAGGTAAGTGAAATACCTTTGTGTGCTTGTATGGCAGATTTCGTAATAACTTCTGCAGGTTTGAATGCAAGGAGGGCCTGTGTGAATGCCTTGGAACCTAATAGGAAAAATTATTGCAGTAACTGCCCAAAACATCGCACTGGAATGAAATGTTTCTTCTAATAAATGTATTTAATAAATGCCATACAGTATAATATAAAAACACATTCAATTAGTTAGCCATGGCATGGTAAATAATTGTAACATTCAGATTAAGTTACTAGACTATTATTTGTCACAACATTAAAAGAATAGAAGTATTATAACGTCATTGTTAATGTAGGTTTTACTTATCATTTGCCACTTGTGTCCATTCAGACCTGGCTTTTGCTGACATAAATATCTTGACTTGCTTTGTTGAAGATATTGGATTATTTCATGAAACCACATGCAACACAATAAATCTTGTTCTCTGGGACCTTTTCAACATTTTAGAATCTGAAAGAGACAGAAAGCGTCCTCAGAGATTCGTTGTTTCTTCAAGACCACGCATCCATCAGCCCTGACAACGCCACATTCTTCAAACCACCTTCTTGTACACCCACCAAGAAGGTGAGCTGGCTCCTTCTGAAGACTTGCAGGACAGAGATCACCCATATGGTGGCCTTGAGAATGATTATCGTGCATGTAGAAGATGTGCTTGACATGAAAACAACAATGCTGCATCAGTTAACAACAGATTGTGATTCATTCCTATAGTTATCAATCTGTCACTAATTTATTCCTGGTCATTGAAACAAACACTATAGCATTGGAAACGGGCTAAACGGGGCTGGCAGTGAAATGTCAAAACTCTTATGATTAGAAACATTTTGGCAACAGGAACTTTAAGGGTTGTGATGTAGGACTAACACTAATGTAACTGATGTCTACCCTTTTAGGTGCTAAAAGAAATCGGAGACATGGGACATGACACTACAGGCCTGAAGTTGGAAAGAAAACCTGTCTTGCCAGAGGAAGAGAAGGAGGATGAGGAGGAGGAGGATGAGAAAGCCACTGTAAGCTTCCTGAAGAGGAGGAAACGAATCCTGACAAGTTTTCAAGACAGTTTTTTCTCTGGATGCACTCCGATCAGAGAGGAATCCTAGTGCGCTCGGAGCCCTTTTGGGGTTAGTTTGTTTTTTAACACAGTAGCTGTTCATATGTGTTGGTAGTCTTTTATATGTGACTGAGCTACAACTTGGAAGTAGTTTGACTATCAATAAAATTGCCTTTTTTTTAAACTGGAATCATAATGAGATGCTCTTGAAATTTTCCTGTACATAATCGTTTAGTTTAATATGTCAGGCTAAATTTACTTTGCTAGTATGTAAAATGAATAGTTCACAGTCTACATTCACACAATTGCACTCTTCAACACAACACGATAAAACTGTGTCCTAGGGAGCAGCCTGTTGGTTTTCACTGCTTCTAGTGTGAGCTGAATAAAGTCTTAGTCAAATCTTGTTTGTAAAAGTTTGACTTTTTTTGTGTTTTGTCTCAACATGTAGCAGTTTTAGCAGCTTCTTAGCCTGCTAATGGAAAATTATTTAATTATTCTGTTATGAATGTTTTACTTTTGAATCACTTTCATTGCTGTTTCTCAGCAGCACTGGGTCTTCAATGGAAACTTTTTGAAATGCATCAAATAAAATAAACTCAGAAGCTGTATTAATTATGTATGCTTATCTAAGTTTGTTCTTGTAGAGTGAGTGATAAAAACATTAGTACACTTTGTTACAGATTTCTCAAAATAAACTCTGTAATGCTCTTTGCCTTGTCTTGCTAATGTGTGAAAATAATTTCTCCAATTTTATTTCCTTCCCTGACTGACTCAGGGCCCGTCTGTGTGGCGTTTCCATGTTCTCCCTGTGCCTGCGTGGGTTTTCCACAGGTACTCCGGCTCTGGCTTCCTCCCATAGTCCAAAGACATGCAGCTTAGGTTGATTGGCGACTGAATTGCCCATAGGAGTGAGTGTCAGTGGTTGTCTGTCTGCATGTCAGCCCAGTAATAGACTGCTGACCTGTCCAGGATGTACCCCGCTGGGTGAGAGGCTTTCTTCAGGAATAAGCGGTATAGATAATGGATAGATGTTTTTTTTTTTTTTTTTTTTTTTTTTTTTTTTTTTTTTTTTTTTTTTTTTTTTTTTTTTTTTTTTTTTTTTTTTTTTTTTTACTTATTCGCTGACCCAGACATACAGCCAAATGTTAAATGAGCGACATGATGCCCTGCTCTGTCTTTTAGTGTTCTGACATTTCTTATACCAGATCAATAGTTTCTAGTTGCATTATTTTTACTGTGCCATGATAAAGTTTGCGATGCATGTATCTGCAGACTGTTTGGATCAGAGTGCAGTGATAATAACACATCAACAATGAATCACTTTCTTCTCCATCTTCCAGCTCTTCCTGAACGTTCTCTGGGGGTCTCTGAGGGCCGCTGGAGATAAACATTCCCTGGTGTTAGTCCTGGCTCCACCATCAGGGTATCCTGCTGCACATAAGCTCTACATGAACATGTAATTGAAGACTGGCAGCTGCTGTAACTTACCTTTTTTGTGATTTTCAATTTATAAAAACAAACATCTTTAAATAGTTTAAGGAAGAGAAGAAAGAGAGGATAAGGTTCTTCACATGTACAGTGGAGCTCAATATCAGATTTAGAAGTGGAAAGTGGAAAATTCATTAAATGTCTGAGCTGAAGGCACACAGCAGCATATTACAGTATTATTTGTTATGGTGGATCTTTGCTCTCCATAGCCACAGTGTGTGTTTCTCATCTGAAAATATGGCTGTCTGTTACAGGAGGCTACCATAAGCCAGAGCCTTGCCGCTGCTGTTGCAATGCATTATGGTCACCAATGAGGCACCGCTAGAGGTCAGAGTAGCTCTTTGAAGGCTTGTTGATAATCCATGTAGTTCCAAAAGTTGATTTCTACTTGTGTATTTATGCTTGTAGATCCCTCCTGAGCCTGTCTATGTCACACACTGCCCGCTCCACAGATGTCAACTCACAAAAATCCACAGGTTTTTTTTTAGGCTCACGTTTTGTCACATTTTCTGATTGCTTTTATGTGTCAGGATCAAGAAACCAAGAAAAATCTGAAGTGAGATCATATCCACCTTCAGTAATAAAGGTATCTTTGAGAGGAGCAGAGACAAACACTGGATTCTAACTAATGTTTGATATTCTCATTTGCATGTGAGGAATGGGAAGAGAAATTCAGCGTTGTTGTTTTAAGCAGCGCTGACACTTGCTGTGAAAAACCGTATTTGAAGACAAGAGAAATTAGATTAAGGTAACTCAAAAATAAAATTATAGATAACAGAAAGATTGGATTAAAATAAAATGAAAACATACTGAAGATTAAAGTAACGGTGTCCTCACTGGTTCTGGCAGCTTATAAGATTTGTAGGTCTTTGGAGTTCGGTGCCATTGTGTACATTTTAAACTGTGCAAATACACAGCACTGAACATTAGCAGATTGTGTGCTGAAACCGTAGGGCAAGTGTTTGCTGTTGGTTTATCAGGCTTAAATATACATGAACAGAAATCATATGAATCCTATATGTAGTTACAGGTCTTTTAAGCACGTGGTATTTTAAAGCCCCTGAAAACTTGCCTTCATATACATAGTATCTTAATTTTTCTCTCTAACATTAAATATAATATATAAATAAGGAAAAATCTGTTTAAAGGGCATCTTTTTGTTTTGTTGAACCAGGAATTAAACACTTATCTCCTTTACCAGCATGTGCAGTGTAGGTTGGATCAGATTTGCTTGACCTTCATCAGATTTAGATTCAAATGTTTCTACATCCTAATTGGTGTGTGGATGTACTATATGTGACATCAGCTTTCTCCAGCTGAGCCCTGCCCACTCCAAACCAGAGGGAAGAGCACAGAGAAATTAACCAAATAAGTGAAGCTGTTCCAACACTGGCAGAAAAAGCCTTTTATACAGAATCCCACTGCTCATAGTAAGAAGCTCATTGAGAAAATACATCGTCTGGGCCTTTAAACACAGTTGTCTTACTGGTATAAAGTACCTACTGAAAGCTTACAGTACACGATAGTGAAAAATATGAAGACATTACCAGTTGATTACTCAAATAAGAGTAGTTACATTTCTGGTTTTCTCTTGACTTTATATTAAAAAGAACAAACCAGTCAACTGAAATGGGAAAAAATCCTGTTTGTTCTGAGAAACAAATGTCATCAGATACTTGAGGCCTGGCTGTGTGAGTTAAAAAGGCATCTGTAGGTCTGAAGTAGCAAGCAAACAGGCATTATGTGCTGACACAAAACAAAATTTAAAAAGGGATGTAACAGACAGAAGCTACAGATAGTCTTAATCATAACTTAGATTTTCAAACTCAGAGAGCACAACAATTTGTCCATTAAAAGAACACTATCTACCCTGAAAGCATCAATCATTTCTGAAATGAGGCAAGATCAACCTCAGCCAAGATCTGGTGACTGCGTGTGACCTTGTGCAAGAGATAATTTCCTTCTCAGCAGATTGTGTTGTTATCTGATCTAAATTCCAGCTGAAATTATTATGTCCTCAGGCACCATCAAATCAAAGAAGGAGTTTATCTGTGCCAGATTACTACCGTGCACATATTCTCTCTCTCTCTCTCTGAGACATTGGACTCTGTACTTACCAGTACTTTGAAGTTAAGACATAAGATAGCTCACGTATATGAATGAAAGAGGAGGAACAATGTTCAATGTATTTCACTACATTTCCTTGTTAAAGGTGATTGTGCTGCAGTTTCACAGTGTAGATGTCAAGTAGTGAGAAACATCTACATTAGGATGTGAACACAGTGAAACAACAAGCTGTCCTGCCGATATGCCTTCTGTTTCGCTATGAATCCTTTAAAACATTCCAAACTGTAAGCTTTAATGATAATGGACAACAGTTTACTGGCCTACAAGTAATTAGTATCATGTATCATGTGTTGTTTTACAGTCAACTTCCAGTTAAAGAATTACAACCTGCTAGTTTATCTTTCATTTAGCCCTTAATGAGTCCTGCTGCTGCCAGTATTTGTTGCATTACTAAAACTTTGTATGTATCAAAGTATACTCTCCTCCTTTTGCCCAATCTTTATGGTGCCGTTCATTCTGTCTTGTATTGCGCTGTCATTCACTTTCACTTTGTGACTACAGCCCAGTGTTTTGTCTCCTCCTGTGCTGTTGCTCCATATCTCAGATGTTCATATTTGCCTATTCCAGTAATTCCACCTAGGTGTGTGCATGTATAATATAGGCAATGTTGAGAAAAATAATGCAACAGTAAATGTAGATTGAGCTCACATGCTTGCCCTATGTTACCTTTACATTGTAAACACAAAAAACAAATACACTCATAATGTTTTGTGCACTATAGTTTCTTGAGCAGTGTCTGAAGGGACTTTCCTTTATAATATACAATACCAGTCAAAAGGCCAGGTCATCTGAATCAGCCCTCCGTCACTCCTCTTCCCTGGTCAAACAGCCCACACAGCCTGGAGGTGTGTTTTGGATCATTGTCCCACTAAGCAAAAACCAGCTACAGAAGGTGGTGGTAGCCATGTTGCATGGTAAAGTGTATGAACTCTGAAGAGTCACCTGCACCCCTACACGTCGCTCCTTACCATGCAGATTCCATCTGGTCACCTTCTCAGCATCTCACAAAGATGGTGGTTGGAAGGACAATTCTCAATCTCATCAGCCCAAAGTACAGATTTCCACTGGTCCTTGTGTTTCTTGATCCAAGCAGTTCTCATTTTCATATTGGTTTTCCTCAGTAGAGGTTTCTCTACAGTAGTTTGACCATTCACTCAGGCTTCCACAAACAGTAGACGTTGAGATGTGTCTGCTACTTGAGTGCTGGGAAGTGTTGATGTGGGCTCTAAGAAGAGGTGCTGTTAACTGGTGATTTCTGAGACTGGTAACTCTAATGAACTAATCCTCTACAGCAGAGGGAACTCCTGGTCTTCCTTTCCTAAGATGGTTGATATGTGAGACTGTGTTATGTTTTGTGTCACTACAAGTGAAGACATTTTCAAAGTTCTTGAGATGTTCCTGACTGACTTCACGTCCTAAAGTGGTGATGGACTATTGTTGGTCTTTACTTAGTTGAACAGTTGTTGCCATGACAGGAGTTATACAGTAGTCAAATAGGACTGTTCAGCACTATCTCAACACAAATAATGGTCTCAAACACATTAAGTAGGCAAACATTTCCATTTCCACAGTGGCTACTTTGAAGAATCTAAAATGTGAACCATATTTTACCTTAGCACTTTTTGCTTACCACATAATCCACATGTGTTATTTCACATTTTAGATGTAGTATTAATCTACAATGTGGAAAATAATAGAATCAAAGAAAATATGTTAAATGAGATGGTGTGTTCAAATACTTGACTGGTATTGTACATCTCAATTAATTTATAAAGGTCTTATGAATTATGACATAGTAAATGACACTGTGTTGGGTTTCTTTCAAAGGGCCATGTCTGGATACATACTTTGTGCAGGGGACAAAAGAGATGTGCGTGGTGCTGGCCCTACCCTTTGTGTCAGTCATTGTGGAATCAGGATGTTGGACCGAGGGGCAGGGCACCGGACCTGTTAAATATTGACTACAGGTATAATAATTAACCTTCCACCCACTCCTGATCTTTTAAACTGACTGCACTCCCT